CATCTAAGAAACCTGTTAACATTTCCTTTTCTACAATCAATCATCGGCCTAAAATAACCTTCACTTTCACTGTATGCATTGCCTTCTCCACTGCTGCACGCTTTTCCTTGATCATCACCTTATTTCAGGCAACAAACAGGGTATTTTACAAGTACCAGCTATTTAGATAACTTGCAAAACAAATACTTTGGACTGCACAGCCTCCTGTTTGTGAGCAATCATGACCCAACTTCAAGGTATGCTAACCGAAAACAGACTATCCAGCAATTAGTTTATGTGATGTAGTATCACTTAATGTAATCAGAAATACTGAGTAAGAAGCAGAAACGTAGCTCAAGACTAAATGAAATTAATGGGGCGCAGAATGACTATCCTTCTCCACAGTGACTCCACTTTAGAAAGCAGAACAACGTTATCTATATAGTCCTATGTGTGGTTTTCAAGAACCACTTTAGGAATGATTTTTTATTTTTTTTTTATTTCTTTCTCCATTCCCTGCTTTCCTTCCTTCTGAGCACAAAGTTATGCTACTATTCTTACAGATAACAGTAGAGCCTCCTACTCTATGATTATCATTTATATCATTCACCAAAGTTTCCTTAAAGGCAAGGAGCCTGTTCATTGTTGCGTTTGCTTTTTGCTTTATTTAACTTTCGGGCTTCACCTATTTATCTTCAAATCAGCAAGTCACGTATGCTGTACTGCTGGCACTTAGCAGCACAGGACATTTTCCATGAGGCAGGTCATGACTGAACTCCCTATTTATTCCAGAAGATAAGACCTATGAACTAGCAGGTCCGTTCATATATGCTCTGCCTTAACATGGAAGTCTCAGATGACTGGAAGGCAGCCACTGCATATGGTGCATATCCACGGTGCTCAGGGGAGAAGTACTTTACAATTGCCATACTGTTACTCAGGGGAGTTTTCATATCAAAAGTACCAATACACTTATAACCTGTGAACTTTGTTTTCCTGAAGTTCCAAGGGTCTTTGCTTTGCTGCTGTGCCTGAATTGTCTTTCCTTTTCTTCTCCTGGAAAGAAGCAGCATCTATTTACTAAAGGTGAACACTATGCCAGCCACAAGTAACACTGGTTTTACATCCTGAAACATCCACCAAAATCCAGAAGATGCAGATGCAGAGAAGTCCTGATACCCCAGCAGAATGCTCTCTAGCTCTCTTTTCTTGATCCCAACTCTCTCTAAGCCCTTTCTATCATTTTTCACCAAAATAGAGTAGGTCATCAAATGCATTGAAATATTATTTTGACACCATTTAACAGGAATTTGTGACAAAAAAAAAAAAAAAATGAGGGAAAAAGAAAGAACAAGGAACTGTAGGTTGTTTTTTTTTTTTTTAATGGGAGGCAAGTCCCAGGAGTCCACGTTTATCCTCACAGGTAGTCAAGTATTGTGGTCTCCTTCTCTCCCTAAAAACAGGGAGGAGTATGAACAACAGCAGAGAACACTCAGGTTGATGACAGTGATAAAGGAGTGGAGGTTGAATTTTAGCCCCAAAAGGTAAGGTGAACAGAAGGGGGCAGGCTGGCAAAGAGGAGATAAAAATAAAAGAGTGACTAGACTTCACTTGACTGCTATTTCTGGATCAACTATGGAAAGAGATCTGAGAAGCTTTCTATTTGCAAGGGAGAGAGATGAAAACATAGTTGCCTTCCAGAAGGCCACAGTCCTGCAGAGCAGTTTCGCTTATGCCTCTACTTTTCTAAATCCCTGCATTCTCACTGTTTGGAAACACTGCTGTTCAGCCAAAATGTCACTACGCGTCTAAGCGAGTAACCAGATTAGGTTGTCTGGAGCGGGACAGCAATGCGTGTGGCATTTCAACCTAACAGGAACAAAGCTGACAGCACGTTGTAAAGGCGAGTAGCGAATCACAACGCCAAGCGGAGCAAACTAAGCCACATAATACTTCAGGAAAACAACCAAAGCCCTGCAGTGTCTCTGAGAGGACGTCTTGTGTTTTCCCACTCTGAAATAATTAGTGAAATTCTAACTAGCTCCAATTACGGACACAGACTAAAGAAGACAACAGGGACCTCCCAATTACAGTACGTAGGGCTTGACTGACACATGGCTCTGGGATGAATGTTTCTGCCTGTTTGAGCCCTTTCCTCTTGAGTATCTCAGTTAAAATTCCTTCCATTGCGTAATTTCTATCCAGATTCTGGCTGTGCTGGCTTTGCTCCCATATGAAAGAAAACCTGCAGGCAGAAAGCAGTGCCATCTGCCAAGTCAGAAGCTGCTTTAATGGGCAAGTTTGGTGCGAAGGGGAACAGACTATTACGCTTTATCTTCAGCAGCAGGAGTGGTGTTTTTCCTTTCCTAGGAGTAGGTTACAGCAAGCACACTCATGCCTGAAGTATTTGTCCACAAATACACATAGATCTCAATGGATACTGCACAAGCAACCTCCAGAAAAAAAAACAAAAACAAAACTGCCCAGCATCCCCTTTTTCTTGTTCAACTTGCAACTCAATCTTTACCTGTCAGACCAGTTGGTTTTTTCTGTGACAGCTTCATCAGCCTCCACTTTCTATTCCTGTAGGTGAATGACAACCCCACCATCACACCTAGGAAGCATGAGCAGTGGCAAGGCAGAAACACCAAGGCCCTATTGTCCCTACACTGAGAATTTTGCACTGAAGCTGTTTCTGAACATGTTTTTCTCAAGTTTCTTGTCCCTTTTCCATAACTGTTTTGACTGGATGGCTTGCTCTGAAGTCTCACCTGGAGCAGGTTTGAGACTTGCATGGCCCAGTTCAGGTTCCATGAGAAACAAGAGAAAAACTTTTAAGATTTCCATCCTTGCAAATATCTTCGGGGTTAGGAAAAGATCGTTCTATTCTTGCCAATTAACCAAACACAGTTTTTATACTTCCTTGTTGGGTAATCTTCTCATTAGACCATCTTTGGAGAGAATAGCAGATTCTCTCTGAGCTGCTGGCAGTTTTACTTAATTGCATATTTAACTTTTTATTCAGCACTTAAACTCATAACGATGAGAAATACATACATGCAAGCAGCAAAGTATTATCTGCCATTTAAACTCCCTAGAGAACTCATAAACATCTTAATATTTCCGTCCCTTGCAGAAGAAAAGTGCAGACATTCCACAGCTGGGGGAGGGAAGCAGGGGCAGGGAGAATGACAAACACGTATGTAACGTAATTTCAGTGACAGATTAGCCATTACTGACAAAACTCCAGTTTGGGAAGAGGGGCGGTGCTTTGGTCCTTAATATATTCTAAAAGTTCTGAAAAAATCAGGCAACCCAATCAGTGCTAAACAGAAACTGATATCACAGGATCTACTATAGGTTCCTCCTCCCCATAAGGCAGAGGTCATTTGTCAGGGCACAGCAAACTTACCTTTCTTCTCCCCCTTCACAACTCTGAGCACTGAATTAAAAACATATTTTAGAGAAGCTCATATCCATAGGAATGTATTTTCTATTTGATTCCAGAGTTACAGAATTTGATCTGAAACACTTGTTGCTATTGGATTGTGCTCTGGAATAGCAACTTCTATTCTAAAACGTTTCCAGCCCTTATGACTGCAAAACCTTTGAAGTATGAATGGTCTATAACCAGCAACAAAGCCACTGAACTCTTCAGAAACAGCAGAACGGCTTCAATTAATAATGTTAACTACTATCCTTCATCACAGTATGTTCAGCATAGAAATAAATGCTGATAGCACTTCAGAAGGTCTGATTAATGGACCACCTCAGAGCAGTGAAAACCTGACCCTCTCCCACGCAGGCGCAAAACCCCAGTACTTCCAGTCTGTTTGCCAAAACCTCCAGTTTTCCCATGATAAACTTCTGTGAGTCAGCTATATGAAGCCAATGCAAAAACCAGTGTGATAAAGAAAATGAGCGTTAGAAATCTGTGAATCAGTCAGCACATCATTGCATTATAAGCTTTTCTAGCTCCTCTGTTCAAAATCTTTTCAATACACAAATCTACCAGATATTTCCAGTCTGCTCTATCAAAGTGCAAAGGCTTTGCTGGGGATAGCAGTTGCAGCTTGGTAAAGGTAAGACCATATCCAGACCTTGGCAGACCCTCCAGCTGGCCACCAGAAGATTTGTCCTACTGTCAGCAAACATGGAGTGTGAGCCTTAGGAAAAGGAAGGGTACCTGAAAGCCTTCTAGACATCCCAAATAATCAGATTAACACCAGCAAGGACTCAGTGACATTCTTAAGTGATTCTCATCACAATTACTTCAGCTGGTTTTCAGTCTTACCATACAGAACCATTCTGGTTCTCACTTGGGCTGCTTTTTTCCTAACAATGTGGTTTAAAAGCATCAGGAAACTCTTCAAGTTTAAAAGCTGCAGAGCAAAAGGTAGGTGAGCTTTATGTTCTCTAATGAACGGTTATTGCTCCACTTATTTAAGTGGTACTTATCACCATGAATATCTACTAAACTTTCTTGCCAATACTGGTGTAATCAGATAATACCCTTCTGTAAATGGATCGTAAAAATAAAGAGGAGAGTAAGTGAGTTAAAAGCTAGAAACACCCTTACGAAAAGACTTCAAAGCAGGGAAAGCCTGAAGACCAATGAACATTTAAATACTTTCTAGTTTAGGCCTACTTCATCGCACGAGATCCAAAACAGTCTCCTTCTCAAGTATTGCATAATATGTTCATTCAAAATCTAGCTAGCTTTCTCACAGAACACACCAGGACACTGTTCTGTCCCCTGCTTTTTTGTCTTTTAAATATGAACACGAGAACTTCACAGCTGTTAACATTCTTCTGGAAACTCACACAGAATATTCTGGAAAAGACTCAAGTTTGGACTGAAATGTTGTAAGTAATAGCAAATGTTTTCACATATTCGAATTCTTCATGCAGCACTCCTTGGGAAACGTAAGCAACAGAACAAGTAGCTTTTACAGGGCTTTGGAAGTGAACTCTGGCCTCCAAACCATAAATAAGAAGAAAAAAAGAAAAAGCCTACATACCTTCAAAGCACATTTCTGGCCTGTCTCCTTGTTGAAACACTCCAGTACTTTGCCATTGATTCCTAACCCCAGCACTCGTTTAGAGAGTTTGTAGTCATCCGTAACTGCATGTTTTTTTATCTCTAGTTTGACATGGGCTGCTCCCCCAGGCAAGGATTTCACGCTGCTCTTGCTATCCACGTGACTCTCTGGCTGGGATTCCTGTTCACCTTCACTTTGTTCCATATCAGGGAACAGTCTGAGATGACAGAGACACCCAGCAGATTCCCTGTGGGGTATCCTCAGCAGAGTCCCTCCTCTTAGGCGATCAAGCCCAGCGCTTCAAACAGTCCATTTGCTCGCCTCGTGGTCCTGAGTGAAAATGTGATTATTAGTAATGAATATCAACTCACCGTTCTCCCACCTAACCACACTCCTCTCTTCCTTTCTTAAGGAGATAACCTGGCACCAGAGAGATCAAAAGTGGAGGTTTACCTCAGGAAAGCACGCTTTGTTTAGCTTTACAGACCAGTCACCCCAGTTCCAACACACACAGCTATCAGTCTGCAGTTACAAATTAATTGCTTTTATTGCAACAAGTGCCTGTGCTGAGCCCTGGACTAAAGTCTCACTCGGCTAAGCTCTGTACAAAAGAGCAGAGATGGCCTCTGCTTCGAGGAGCTTATAAACCTTCATCAACCTGTTGCCTCCGTGTTTTAGGTAGAAATCTCCAGAACGGTCCCCTGCCTCATCCCAACACCCCAAGTTACGCACGAGAACCACGAATACCTGGATTAAACCCCAGAGAGGCAGTGAGAGGCAGAGCGAGGGGCAGGTGCGGCATTACTTAGGGGACCACCAAACCACCCAAAAACTCGGGTACATGGAGACGCGACAGCGCCCTAAAGCTGAGGAGCTGCCTGGCGCCGCTGGCGACCGGCGG